GTTTCATTTCTTGGATCACTTTGTGGGGTATGCATATGGATGTCCAAAAAGTGTTCGATGATTTGTTTCTGTCTTTAGATTTTCTTTGTATAATTATTGTTTGTTGTTTATGGGATTTGTGTGCATAGAAATGCTCATTAAGTCTTTGATGCTGTGTTTCAGTCTTTGAGAATCCTTAGTGTCATTCTTGTACATAAAGCCTATAAAGTGTTTGATGATTTGTCTCAGTGATTAATACATTCCTCGTATAAATAGCTGATATATGAGATGACTGTCTCTCCTTGAGTAAAAAAATTATCATCTGAAAACCTTCAGTTACAATCATATCTTCATAACAACCCTTGGATGGGTTGGACCAAACCTTCATTTGAATTTTGAAGAAAATCCTTTCCTTTCCATTCTTTTTCCATCATTTTCCTTAATCCAAACATAATATAATACCAAAAACATACCTGTAAGAAAATTCTTTTGGCTACTTGCCAACTATATACCATATAAAAGGACTTTTCTTTTTTGGAAATGTAAATCTGTGCTTATAAAAAAAAAAAAAAGTTTTTTTTTTTTTTTTTCTGTCATGTTGTCTGGGCAGTCGAGGGTTTTCTGCCACATTCTTTGAATATTTTTTAGTAATTTTTAATTTTTGTTCATGGACTTCAAATTTAGCTGGTCATGAGCTTGCACGTGCTGTCGTGCAGCATATGATATACATGGACATACTAAAAATTCAGAAGAAAGTTTTGGAATTATTTCTCCAATTTAACCCCTGAACAATATATCTTTTCTAAAAAATAAACATAAAAAATCTAAATTCTGTTATCCCCTCAAACAATATTTAATATAAATTAATGCTAAAATTTTTTTAATAAAAAATAAAGAAAAAATGTGTATTTTTTGCATATAGAACCACAATGATTGGTTGAGTAACATTTGTTTATAATAAATTCTCATAACAATTGCATGATGACATCAAATAAGAGTGTCCATCCACGTGTCCTACCAACTGAAAAAAGCCAATAAAATTATTGTCATGTTACGGTGAGAGTATTTTGTTGTTAGCAAAGATTGTCAAGGTTCATTTTTGATAATAATAATAATAATAAAATAACTGTTTAATTTACGTAAGCTAATTTGATTGGATAATCAAAATACCGATGGTAGATACTGGGTCCAAACCTATACACTCACTCAAATGAAAGCTAATTTGTCATATAAAAATACTCAAGTTGACCCTAGTAACCAAATCCAAGGGTGCCTTTCATTCAAATCTAGAAGCTAAAACCAACGGATGCACACTATTATCTTCTCTTCAGATTCAAATTAGAATTTCAGGTATGTTGAAGATTTTCAATACACAAGGTGTGTTTGGTGCTTTAATTTGTTTCATTAACTTCTTGGATCATTATGTTCTTTGTAGGATATATATGCATAGAGATGTCCCTAAGGTGTTTGATGAGTTTTTTCTGTCTTTAAAATTTCTTTGTATCATTCTTGTGTGTGGTTTGTGGCATAATATGTATAGAAATGTCCATTAGGTGTTAGGTGCCTAAGAATCCTTTCTCATTCTTGTCCATAAATGTCTATATGTTATTCAGTGGTTTGTTTCAGTCATCAAGCAATCAGTTGATTTCTGAATTTTCTTCCGTTTTTAAGCAGCCATGTCTTCCCCTGATTCTGGTTTGGGTGGTTCAGGTTCGGGGCAACATGTTCTTGGTAAAAAATTAAACGTTCAAGAAATAATCGAGAAGATACAAGACCTGAATAATCGTCTTTCTAAAGCCAGAGACCAGACCAAAAGTCTCCCTGATGCCAAAAATTTCGATGGCAATCTCAGTAACAACAGCTATGATAATGTAGGTGGAAATGCCAGCATCGTGGCAATAGATGGCATTCAACTGGCAGAGGAGAATGTTGCTACTGATCCTACCAGCAAGGAAAAGGAGGAGAAAAAGGATGATCACAAGGATGAGAACAGCAAAAAGGGACCGTTTGATCATCAGAAGGTGAAGGGTGAATTGGAAAAGTTATGCAAAGAGCTTGAGTTCATGAAACTTGCATTCCAGAAACTCAAGAAATTTGAAGATGATTTGACGAAACCATTCAAAACTCTGGAAAAGAATGTTGATGACATTGAAAAAGATCTACCATCAGCCCCAAATAGATACTCTTCAGCAAAGCAGGTTCAGAGCAATCTTCGTGTGCTGAGGAACAACATCACAAAAATCAAGATCCAGATTCCATTGCAGCACCATGCCACTCAGACAAATTCAGAATCTCGTGGTTATAAGGAGACAGTGGCCAGCAAAGAGCACGATGACCTGCCTAACCTAAGTCATGAAAAGGTAGAACTTAAGCAGAGTGCCTACTGTGTAGAACTTTTTAAAAAATACGAGACACTTAAAGATGACAGGCTCAAGTTATGCTTGCTATCATTTGCAATTTTCCCAGAAAATGCCAAGGTTAAGAAGAGGCTTCTAAGATATTGGTGGGTTGGAGAAAATATAATACTACCAGAAGAGGAGGAAAAGAAATTTACAAATGAAACTTTAGAGAAATTAGTGAAGATGGAGTTCATTGAGCCTGTTAACAAGAAATATGGATTAAGCCCAAGAAGCTATAGGATGTACCCAATCATTCGTTCTGCCTTGATTACTAAGGCCAGAAAGGAACAGTTCTTTGATTATGATCATCATGGGAACCCTACAATGAATTTTTCAGAGTGTTACAAGGCATGCTTGGTAAAGGCTGAAGAAGAATCTCCTAGATCAATATCAAAGCATTTTAGCAGGCACGAGGAGGAGCTGGGGAAATTGGAAACATTGTTCAATGTCAGTGAGCAGTTTCCTGATTTTAAAGGGGAGTGGTTCTCCAAGATGAAAAGCATTAGAGTTCTTTATCTGGGAAGATGGGAGAGTTCAACTGATCGGCACATTGAAGTGGAAAGCCCCATCTGCTTTGAAGGGTTGAGTAAGATGAAGAATTTGAGGTTTCTTAGTCTCCAAGGAATCTCAGGAATCAAAAGTCTGCCCAATTCTCTTTGCCAGGCGGCTAAATTGAGGATCTTAGATCTCAGGGCATGTCACAATTTGGAGGAACTTCCGGACAGCATAGGATCATTGAAGAAGCTGACTCATTTGGATATATCTGAGTGCTATTTGTTAGATCAAATGCCCAAAGAACTGTCCTCTCTTTTGGAACTCAAAATCTTCAAGGGGTTTGTGATTAGTGATCACAAAAAGACCTGTTCTCTTGAGGAGTTGAAAGCACTGCAGAAGCTGGAGAAACTGAGCATCAACATAATAGATAGAGAGTACAAGGCAGAACGTCTGGGCAGTGCTATTTCTAAATTTAGTAATCTTGAGAAGCTAAAAGTAGCATGGGGAGGGGCAACATTAACACCAGCTGGAGCTGAAGAAAAATCTGAGGAAACAAACAGTGGAACGGAAAGCCAGGGCCAAGGAGGACAACACAAAAGACAGGTGGAGAAGGGAGCTGCCACAGCAAAACCATGCTCGGTGGCCAAGAAACTGTGGGGAAAATTGAAAAACAGAAACAAAGAAAGATATGCAGCTCAATCCACAGTCAGCAGTCAGGAGAAGACAGAGTCAAGTGATAATCTTTCACTTTTGAGAAGATTTGGGCATGTAGCATTTTTCACAAGTAAGCTCAGAGAAGCAGCAAGTCTAAATCAAGAAATGACTCCAGAAGAGCTTGTCTGGAGTGTAACAAAACTGGAACTCCAATGTTATCCAGAGACAACGCCACCCAATTGGTTAGTGCCTGGAGTTCTGCCTAAGCTAAAAAACCTCTATATTAAAGGTGGAAGACTCCATAACCTTCCAGAGATGAAGACTAGGACCAAGTGGAAGGCAAAGATCTTATGTTTGAAGTACTTGAGTGATTTAAAAACTGACTGGAAAGAACTGCGGGAAATGTTTCCAGATTTGGAGTATTTGGAGAGAGTCAGATGCCCTAAAGTCATGTTCTGCCCTTGCGATGGGGATGGATGGTGCCATTTGACTACACTCCTGAAAGATGGAGTTGAAAGCTAATCTGTTGGTTGTTCTTGTCATCAGAATTATGTTTCTCTGGATTTCTGTGCTTTTATTATTCATGTTTGCATTTGAGTTGATTGTAATGTTGAACCTTTAATGTGTGATTGATGGTTTTGATATTTCCTTTGCTCAATATTTTTTAATATGCGAGTTCTTCTCATAATGTTGTTGGCTCTCACCCTCTAATAATTTCGCCTTTTTGAGACTTCTTACTCCAAGATTGGCTAAGAAGTTCTCGCTTTGAAAAAGCCAGCGGCAGATAGAAGCAGAGACACAGGTGGAGATTCGGGTGGAATTCCACCCATGTCATCTCTTTGTTTTGTTTTATTAAGAATAGGAATTTTTCATGCTTGATAGACTAGCCCAATTAGTTGGGTTCGGGATTGTTCTCTTCAGATTCAACTTAGAATTAAAGGTGTGTTGATGATTTTTAGTGCACAAGGTGTTTGATGCTTTGCTTCGTTTCTTGGAGCACTTTGTGTGATATGCAGAGATGTCTAAAGTTGTTTGATGATATGTTTGTGGCATACGCATGGAAATGCCTATTAGATGTTTGATGCTTTGTTTCAGTCTCCAAGAATCGTTTAGTTCAGTCTTGTCCATAAACGCCTAGAAGATGCTCGATGATTTGTCTCCGTCAATTAAACTTTCATTCGGGATCTGAATTTGCTGCCTCATATGAATGGTTGATATTTAAGATGACAGTGATCTCTTTTGCAATAAAATATAAATTATCTAAAAACCTTAAGTAATACAAGTATCCTTATTTACAATCTTGTATTAAATTGCAAAACAAAAAGTGTTAAATAAGAATAGCCCCAAATATCAAGAACATGCTTTTCAATTTAAATTCAGTGTAGTCTAAATTACACAACATTCTTTTTGTAGTTATAAATTTATAATCATCTCTTCTAAATTATTTTTCAGCTCATGTTAATGTTAAGATAAGGCAACATGCATTTTCACGCCTCACATCAATAGTTGACATATGAGGTACCTATCTCTCTTTTTCAATTAATTAAACAACTTACTTCCGGTATAACGTGTGATTTTCTTGACTTTCAATGATAGGTGAAACAACACAAAACTTCGCCGGATTTTGAGTGACGTGATTTGGGAACCATCATAAAGCTCCCTGCTTGGAATGGTGAATTTTCTGGGAGGATACCTTATCATGTGGTGTCGTAGGAATGATTCTGGTCTCTATCCAGCCTCTAACATGGATCAGGTTGGTCAAATTTTCTCCTTCTTCCATAAGCCTCCTTGGAAACTTAATAGTCCTCCAAAAATTTATTTGTTCCTATGGAGGATTGTGTCTGAAGAACAACCTGTTGCCTAACTATTTGGACGGGGTATTGTGGATAATTGTATTTGTTATTTGTGTAAAGCATAGGAAGAAACTATAATGCACAAGTTGTTTACTTGCCCATATGCTGCCACAACTGCCAAAGTGTGGTTCTTGGCCAGATTGGGTTACCAGCCCCTTCTTTCTACAGTTCATGATTTTGAGCATAGTCAGTAGGCGATGCGGTAAGGTTTCCGTGGGAGCAGTCCACAGGGCATGCTTGGTAAAAGCTGAAGAAGGATCTTCTAGATCAGTATCAAAACAATTTAATAAGAACCAGGAGAATCTGGAAAAATTGGATTCACTGTTCTATGTCATAAGCAGTTTCCTGATTTCAAAGAGCAGTGGTTCTCTAAGATGACAAAAAAGAAAAATTCAAAGTTCTTTATCTGGGAAGATTGGAACCACTGATTGCTTCAAAGGATTTGTGATATGAAGAACTGGAGGCTTCTTAGTCATCAAGGAATCTTAGGAATCGAAACTCTGCCTAATTGTCCTTGCCCGGCAGCTAAATTGAATTGAGGATCTAATTTGGAGGAACTTCCAGACAACATAGGTTCACTGAAGAGGCTGACTCATTTGGATATATCCAAGTGCCATTTGTTAGATCAGATGCCCAAAGAACTGTCTTCTCTCTCAGCACTTAAGCCCTCAAGGGCTATATGAAAAGTGATCATGAAAAGTTCTGTTCTCTTGACGAGTTGGCAGCACTAAAGAGGCTGGAGAATCTGAGCATCAGCATAATCGGCAAAGACTACTTGCCAAAATATCTTGAGATTTAATATGCTTCAGAAGCTTAAAAGAAAAAGAAAAAAAAAAAAAAACTCAAAGTTCTTATCTGGGAAGATTGGAAACCACTGATTGCTTCAAAGGGTTTGTAATATGAAGAACTGGAGGCTTCTTAGTCATCAAGGAATCTTAAGAATCAAAACTCTGCCTAATTGTCCTTGCCAGGCAGCTAAATTGAATTGAGGATCTAATTTGGAGGGACTTCCAGACAACATAGGTTCACTGAAGAAGCTGACTCATTTGGATATATCCAAGTGCCATTTGTTAGATCAGATGCCCAAAGAACTGTCTTCTCTTTCAGAACTTCAAGCCCTCAAGGGCTATATGAAAAGTGATCATGAAAAGTTCTGTTCTCTTGACAAGTTAGCAGCACTAAGAAGCTGGAGAAACTGAGCATCAGCATAATCGACAAAGACTACTTGCCAAAATATCTTGAGATTTAATATGCTTCAGAAGCTTAAAAAAAAAAAAAAAAAAAAAAAAAAAAGAAGCGAGGGAAGGAGCAGAGCAAGTGAGGGAAGGAAGCCTGAATGGAGGAGGAAAATTCTAAAGGCATGAGAAAAGTGCCGCCAAACTGGTGATAAAAAAGGAGAAGAGGGAAAAAGAAGGAAAAGTAGATCAAGGGAGAAGATAAGGAGAACCATGGAACTATGGAAGTATTTCAGAAATGGTCAAAAATGCAGAAAAGTGTTGCAGCAATATTGAAGGGCATAAAACAGAAGATTAGAGAGGAGAACAGTAGGAATGATGGTGTTAGAGCCTATCGATGGCCACAAAGCAGGGTAAGACGGAGGGTAACAGAGATCAGGAAAAGGACAATGGTACAGACAGATCAGCAGAAGCTGCAAAACCTGGCATTACACAAGGCAACACAAAGGAAAATTTTGTTTCAATAGTAAAATTAAAAAAAAAAAAAAAAAGTTGTCAGAACTCATATGGTTGTTGACAGGCTAAAAAATTCAACGCCAGCAAAAGGTTTTGGGAAACTAGTGAAACTGGACCTCCAGTGTTTCCCCAGGACAACACTACCTGATTGGTTAGCACCTGAAAAGCTGTGTCGCTTTCAGAAACTCTACGTTAGAGGTTAAAGACTCCATGACCTGGACCAAGTTAAGGAGAAGTGGTACAAGTATTAGAGTGATTTTGAGATGGACTAGAGACAACTAGAGAATTCTTTTCCACGTTTGACGTATTTGGTGAGAATCAAATGCCCTGAAAATCACATTCTGCCCCTATCATGGACATGGGATGTGG